GTGGAAAAGTCCAGCTTCTTGGTGGCCACTCAGAAAGCCAGATTCCACACTCTGAGATGCAGTACTTCTCCCAAGTCCAAACATGCAGGGGTGACTTGGCTTAAATGGAGGAGGAAGAGAGAGAGCTGAGGTGGTGCACCGTTCTGCTTCGGTGCACAAGGTTTGTGTCCAATACAGCTGTGTTAGTCACTAACCACAGATGGTCTCCACGGCCTAAAAAGTAATACATTATCTATAACAGGCTTCCAGGTTCTGATAGCTGGAATCCTTGACAGAGGTAAGAGTGTACTGGGAGGCCGGGCGTGGTGGCTCACGCCTATAATCCCAGCACTTTGGGAGGCCAAGGCGGGTGGATCATGAGGTCAAGAGATCGAGTCCACACTGGTCAACAAGGTGAAACCCTGTCTCTACTAAAAATACAAAAATTAGCTGGGCATGGTGGCGTGTGCCTGTAGTCCCAGCTACTCGGGAGGCTGAGGCAGGAGAATTGCTTGAACCCAGGAGGTGGAGGTTGCGGTGAGCCGAGATCGCACCATTGCACTCCAGCCTGGGTAACGAGAGTGAAACTCCATCTCAAAAAAAAAAAGAGTGTACTGGGATCACTGTGAATATGATTTTGTTGAGAATCGATGTTAACTTAGTGGGATGTTGGTTGTGGTAAATTCTGATGTAGTTAAGTTGTACTGCAGATGTTTACTATTGTGTTTATATTTATTCTAAATACATCAGATATCAAAGTAATGCCTCAAAATGTGTCTCCTTACAAATGGCAGAAGATACATTATCATGTTTTGTTTTTTTGTTCGTTTGTTTGACGGAGTCTAGCAAGTAGTGTGATCTCGGTTCACTGCAACCTCCACCTCCTGGGTTCAGGCAATTTCCTGCCTCAGCCTCCTGAGTAGCTGGAATTACAGACATGCACCACCATGCCTGGCTAATTTTTGTATTTTTAGTAGAGACGGGGTTTCACCATGTTGGCCAGGATGGTGAAACTTGAACTCCTCACCTCAAGTGATCTGCTCACCTCAGTGCTGGGATTACAGGTGTGAGCCATCATGCCTGGCGACGTCATCATGTATTTTGGATATGAGCTCTGGTAAAACTGAGAGGCCCCAGGACATGGCCGAGTAGTGAGGCCACTGAAGCTGCTCAGGGCTCAGTAAGACCAGATGGTTCTGGAATGTTGCACACCTCCATAGGCTCTTGAGGGACAGGAGTTACCACTGCAGCTTGCAGGCTGGGTCCAGTAGTGTACTGTGAGCAGGGCTTGCACTTTGCCTCCATCTGGACTATTGGACTTCCCTGGAAGGTTAACTTTCATAGAGAGGGTTACTTCAGCCAGGATTCACAATGGGAGAAACAAAACCATTTATTTACAACATGAGCGGGTGCACCACTCCCAAACAACAATCTGCATTTTAGGAGACATGGCTACATTTTAGACCTTTTCAGGACTGAGTTTGAAGCCATTAAAAAATTTTTAAAAGCTGAATAAAAAGGATAAAAATAATACCCCTTGATAGAAAAAAACAAAACAAAACAAAAATAATAATAATACCTTGGCTAGAGGTGAAAAATGGATTGAACATAAAACATCTAAATGAAAGAGAAGAGCAGAGCTAAATTCTAAGAATAGCAAATGTATCAGACCTTGATAATTTTAAGGGTCATTAGCCCCCACATTTATATATTTCACTATATTATTTCACTATATATTTTCTTCCAAATAATTTAGAAAGCTAAACTGAAAAGTTAAAGTAAGAGGCTGGGTGTGGTGGCTCACAACACCTGTAATTCTAGCACTTTGGATGGTCAAGTTGGGAGAATAACTTGAGCTCAGGAGTTTGAGACCAGCCTGGGCAACATAGTGAGACCTTGTCTCTACAAAAAACCAAAAAAATTAGCTGGACATGGTGGCACGTGCCTATGGTCCCAGCTACTTAGGAGGCTGAGACAGGAGGATTGTTTGAGCACAGGAGTTCAAGGCTGCAGTGTGCTACTCTCTCTGTCCAGAACACTGCCCATCCCCCTCTTATTTCTGAGCTAAGCCATAATATCATTTTTGGTGAGTCACTATACTGTTTAACACCTGAACAATTTCTAGCCTAAAATGTCCTTAAATCTGAAAGTGTCAGGCTTCCAACAAGTGTGCCCAGCTTCGCAAGTTTTCTAAATTAGAGTGACTTCCCTTTGAGCAAAAGACACCAGCAGCTAAGAGTTGCACTTTCCTTCAGCTACATGTCATCTTCTCTAAGAAGTGTGCCCAAAGCACAAGGGAATTGGAAAAGACAATCACGGTTCAAAAAAAAGACAGAGGGCCGGGCGTGGTGGCTCACACCTATAATCCCAGCACTTTGGGAGGCCGAGACGGGTGGCTCACGAGGTCAAGAGATCGAGACCATCCTGGTCAACAAGATGAAACCCCATCTCTACTAAAAATACAAAAAATTAGCTTGGCATTGTGGTGCGCGCCTGTAATCCCAGCTACTCGGGAGGCTGAGGCAGGAGAATTGCTTGAACCCAGAAGGTGGAGGTTGCAGTGAGCCGAGATCGTGCCATTGCACTCCAGTCTGGGTAACAAGAGCGAAACTCCGTCTCAAAAAAAAAGACAGATGTCTTACTGAGTGTCAAGTCATTTGACTTTAGAACAGATAGAAGAATTAAAAAATGACAGATGATGGGCAGCCAGGGGAAAGAAATGAGAATTAAAAGACAGCAGAAAATTATCAAATGAGCTCCTGCCACTGGCAGTATTCGATGCTGGCCAATCACTCTTCCTCTTCTGATGCGTTACATGGGAAGAGATTTGTTACGTCACAGGGGTTCTGACTTTCCTTCAAGTGTCTAAGGGAGTGAGTTAGATCCAGTCATGATAGTTGGATCGCCATTTTCTGATATTGACTGTAATTGGAAATGGCATACACTTTAGTCACCTACACTTCCCTTTATTTTTATACCATTAGCTCCTTAATCTTGTCACTAGCCGAGGGGCCAGTTCCTTGTCATGAGGTAGCACTGTGTTTGCCCAGCCAAAGCCTTCAACTCACCCATGTAGAGCCAGAGAATGGGGCATCCTTGCTTCATAGTTCTCATGATATAACAAAAGGACAGCATCAGGGGTGACACAGGTCCCAGGGCCCTCCCAGCAGGAGATACTTCTACATCTGCCCCCACAGGCTCTGGGCCTTCAATTTCAGTTTTAGTGGCAGGATCACAACCTGCTCCAACTGCATAGTTCTTTCTTTATTTATTTATTTGAGATGGAGTCTTGCTCTGTCAGCTGTGCTGGAGTGCAGTGGCACCATCTCGGCTCACTGCAACCTCTGCTTCTTTGGTTCAAGTGATTCTCCTGCCCCAGTCTCCCAAGTAGCCTGGACTACAGGCAAACACCTCCATACCCAGCTGATTTTTTAATTTTTGTAACTGCCCAAGGTGTTTACCTTGCCTGCTGCCTAGACAGAGCAGATTCATGAAGACAGGGGAATTGCAATAGAGAAAAGCAATTCACACAGAGCCTACTGTGTGGGAGACTGGAGTTTTACTATTACTCGAATCAGTCTCCCCAAGCATTTGGGGAGCAGAGCTTTTAATAATAACGTGGTGGGTGGGTGGGGAGCCAGTGAGCCAGGAGTGCTGATTGGTCAGGGATGAAATTATAGGGAGTTGAAGCTGTCTTCTTGTACTGAGTCAGTTCCTTGGTGGGGGCCACAAGATCAGACGAGCCAGTTTATTGATCTGGGTGGTGCCAGCTTATCTACCAAGTGCAGGGTTTGCAAAATATCTCAAATGCTGATCTTAGGAGCAGTCTGAATCTTGACAGGCTGAGGATGGTGGATCCCTTGAGGTTAGGAGCCAACATGGTGAAACCCTGTCTCTACTAAAAATGAAATTGCCTTTGCAAAATTAGGCAGGGTCAGAATCTTGTAGCCTCCAACTTCATGACTTCTAAACCATAATTTGTTTTTTCTTTTTTTTTTTTTTGAGACAGAGTTTCTCTCTTGTTGCCCAGGCTGGAGTGCAATGGCACCATCTTGGCTCACCGCAACCTCGGCCTCCCAGGTTCAAGTAATTCTCCTGCCTCAGCCTCCCAAGTACCTGGAACTACAGCCATGTGCCACCATGCCTAGCTAATTTTGTATTTTTAGTAGAGATGGGGTTTCTCCATGTTTGTCAGGCTGGTCTCAAACTCCCGACCTCAGGTGATCTGCCCACCTAGGCCTCCCAAAGTGCTGGGATTACAGCGTGAGCTACTGCACCCGGCCTACTATAATTTCTAACCCTGTGGCTAATGTTAATCTAGTCCCCAGGCGAGAAGGAGGTCTGCTTTGGGAAAGGGCTCTTAGCATCTTTGTTTAAACTATAAACTACAAACTAAGTTTCTCTGAAAGTTAGTTCAGCCTATGCCCAGGAATAAACAAAGATAGCTTGGAGGTTAGAAGCAAGATGGAGTCGGTTAAGTTAGACCTCTTTCACTGTCTCAGTCATAATTTTGCAAAGGTTTCATTTTTACTAGACACTGGCTTTCATCATGTTGGCTCCTGAGCTCAAGTAATCCACCCTCCTTGGCCTCCCAAAGTGCTGGGATTACAGGCGTGAGCTACCACTCCCGACTCCAACTCCATGGTTCTAAGATGTAATGGAAAGAGTTTAGGACAGAGTCCAAGGGCTGATCTGCCTTGAGAGACCCTGGGCAGTCACTCTGCCATTTCCTGGTGTCTGCAAGGGCTTAGACCATACCAGGCACTCCCTGGACATGTGGCACCGATATAGCCCCTGCATCCCTCGGCCACTGTACGCACAGAGAGCCGTCGTGGCCTGAGATCCCCCCACAATCAAGCCATGACCAGACAGTTCCAATAGGCTTTATTTTCCAACTTCGACTCCAGGGCCTCTCCCAGCTCTGAAGGTCTGAGATTTTGAGGATTTGCCTGGAGGGTTTCTTCAGTCTGGAGCCATTGAGACTAGGAGCCTCACCCCGTTCCTTCTCTTACCTCCTACAGAAATCAGGGTGAAATGGCCCACACCTGCCGTGCAACCATCAACCTGTCCACAGCGCACATTGACACGGAGGATTCTTGTGGTATCTTGCTGACCAGTGGGGGCAGGAGCTACCACCTCAAGGCCAGCTCAGAGGTGGACCGGCAGCAGTGGATCACCGCTCTGGAGCTGGCCAAGGCCAAGGCTGTCCGCGTGATGAACACTCATTCAGGTAGTGAGCGCTCGGCACAGCGGGTGTGTACATGGTGGTGTCATGGGTCTGGAGGAAGTGGGAATTGCAAGCGGCTCTGGCTTAGTGGTGGCCAGGAGACCCAGGCCAGCCTGGATCAATCTGGAAGGTCAAGGTGTGTGCGTGTTTTGTGCGTCATCAGCAGTGAGATGCTCAGCCATTCTGTCTGGCCAGCAGTTCTTGGCATGGAAATGTTTGTGGCAGGCAGGAGCTGTGTGAACCTTTCTTTGGGCTAGTCAGGACTTCAGCAGACCCTTCAGGTCCAGAAGCAGCAGTTGGCATGGGAGTCCAGGATGGTACATCCATCCGTGCCTCAAGCTAGCCTTTCCCCCAGGTCCCTCGTCCTGGAGGGTGAAACCATTTAGCCAGAGTTTCTGCCTTTGCCTAGTGGGGATGCCAGCTCAGATGTCCTGTGAGAGACATTTTATTTCTTACTTTAATAAATTTATTTTGTTTTTTGAGAGTCTCACTCTGTCGCCCAGGCTGGAGTGCAATGGCATGAATCATAGAATCATGTGTGCCGATAGAGAAAGTTTTGGTTTTTCCATTCCAAATTTTCCTTTTCTTTACTTTCCTTGCCTAATTGTTCTGTCTAGAACTTCCAGTACAATGTTGAATAGCTTTGGGGAACAGGGCGTGCTTGACTTGTTCTTGATCTTAAAGAGGAATTTTTCATTCGTTCATCATCAAGTCTGGCATTAGCTGTGGGTTCTTCATAAATGCCCTTTATCATGTTGACAAAGTTGCCTTCTATTCCTAGCTTGCCGAGTGGGTTCATCATGAAAGGTATTCGATATTTGTCAGAATTTTTTTTCTGTACCGTTGAGATAGCCAAGTGTGGCTTTTTTCACCTTCAATCAAATTGGTGCAGTATACTGATTTTCTTTTTTTAAGACGAAGTTTTGCTCTTGTTGTCCAGGCTGGAGTGCAATGGCACAATCTCGGCTCACCACAACTTCCACCTCCCAGGCTCAAGTGATTCTCCTGCCTCAGCCTCCCAAATAGCTGGGATTACAGGCATGTGCCACCACACCCGGCTAATTCTGCATTTTCAGTAGAGATGGGGTTTCACCCTGTCGGTCAGGCTGGTCACCTCAGGTGATCTGCCCGCCTCAGCCTCCCAAAGTGCTGGGTTTGCAGGCATGAGCCACCGCGCTGGGCCTGTTTTTTGTTGTTGTTGTTGTTGAATCACCCTTCCACTCCTGGGGTAAATCCCACTTGGTCATGGTGTATCATCCTTTAAATATGCTAATGGATTTTGTTTGCCAGTACTTTGTTGAGAAATTTTGCAGCTATATTCATAAAGGGTAATAATGGTTTATAGTTTTCTCTTCTTATGATGTCTTTGTGTGGCCTCATAGAATAAGTTATTGTTTCATACTGTTCAATGTTTTGGAAAGTTTAAGAAGAATTGGTATAATTTTTTTGGGATGGTGGGGACAGGGTCTCACTCCATTGCCCAGGCTGAAGTGCAGTGGTGCAATCATGGCTCGCTGTAGCCTCAACCTCTGGGGCTCAAGCAATCCTCCCACCTCAGCCTCCATGTAACTGGGACTACAGGCATGTGCTTTCATGTCTGGCTAGTTTTTATTTTTTGATTTTTTTTGTAGAGACAGGGTCTCACTATGTTATCCAGGTTACTCTCACACTCCTGGGCTCAGTGATCCTCCCTCCTCAGCCTCCCAAGTGCTAGAATTATAGATGTGAACCACTAGGCCCGGCCTTGCAAGTTCTTTATTTTATTTTTTATTTTTTAAAGACAGGGTTTCACCATATTGGTCAGGATGGTCTCAAACTTCTGACCTCAGGTGATCCGCCTGCCTCAGCCTCCCAAAGTGCTGGGATTACAGGTGTGAGTCACCGCGCCCGGCAGGTTCTTTAAATGTTTGGTAGAATTCACCCAATGAAGTCATCTGGTCTTGGACTTTTCTTAGTTGCAAGATCTTTGATTATAGATTCAATGACCTCTTCATTGTAGGTCTGTTAAGGTATTTTATTTCTTCTTTAGTCAGTTTTCGTAATTTGAGTGTTTCTAAGTTTGTCCATTTGCATCCAGGTTATCTAATTTGTTGGCATAAAGTGTTCATAATAATCCTTTTCCTCCTGTTTTTATTTTTTTTTTTTTTTGAGACAGAGTTTCACCATATTGGTCAGGCTGGTCTGGAACTCCTGATCTCAGGTGACTCGCCTGCCTCAGTCTCCCAAAGTGCTGGGATTACAGGCATGAGCCACTGTGTCCAGCCTCATCCTGTCCTTATAACCCTTTTCATTTCTGTAAGATCATTAGTAATGTTCCCACTTTCATTTCTGATTTCAGTGATTTAAGTCTTCTCTTGTTTTCTTGGTCTAGCTGAAGGCTTGCCAATTATGTTGATCTCTTCAAAGAACCAACTTTTGCTTTCATTCATTCTATCGGTTTTTTATTCTCTTTTTCATTTACTTCAACTCTAATCTTTTTTTTTTTTGAGACAGAGTCTATAAGTATTATTACTTTCCTACTGTTACTAATTCTCGATTTTAGCAAGAATTTATGAGTGTACTTTTATTTATCTATTTATTTATTTTGAGATAGAGTATCACTCTGTCTCCCAGACTGGAGTGCAGTGGCACGATCTTGGCTCAGTGCAAGCTCCACCTCCTCGGCCTCCCAAAGTTCCTGGATTACAGGCGTGAGCCACTGCCCCCAGCTGAGTGTACTATTACTTTAAATCAAAACCTATTCTTAAACTAAGAATGCTTTTTTGTTCTTAAAGTACCAGGACATTTCCATGAGTTCTGAGTCTTCAGTTGGTTAACATTCTCTCAACCATAAGCATGTGGCCAGGAGTGCCTAATCTCCTGGGAATGTAACCCAGCAGGTTTGGCTTTATCTGGCCTTTTTTCAAGATGGAGTCACTCTGGTTGGGATGCCTTGACACTGTCACCACTGGAACAAATAAACTTATGACATTTAGCTGGATAAAGGAAGACCAGGCAGAGCCTGCTTGAATTGAAAGTTTGAAGAGTCGGGGTTTACAAATGAGGCCACGGGCTTGTTTCTTTTTTTTTGTTTGTTTTTTGTTTTTGAGAAAGAGTCTCATTCTGTCACCAAGACTGGAATACAGTGGTGCAATCTTGGCTCACTCCAACCTCCGCCTCCTGGGTTCAAGCAATTCTCCTGCCTTAGCCCCCCAAGTACCTGAGATTACAGGCATGCACCACAATCCCCAGCTAATTTTTATATTTTTAGTAGAGATGAGGTTTCCCCACATCGGCCAGGCTGGTCTTGAACTCCTGGCCTCAAATGATCCACCCACTTCAGCCTCCCAAAGTGCTGAGATTACAGGCATGAGCCATGGCGTCCAGTCACAGACTCATTTCTGTGGCACAAGCAGAACTGGGGTGGAAGTATTGAGACTGATTTCTACTTGGTGGAGGAATGAAACAGAGTACACTATAGGGGAGGGAGAGGTAAGGACCAAAGTGAAAGGTCCCAGCCAGAGGGCTGGGGCTGAGGCAGGGCCTAAGGTCCTTCCAGGGCTTGAGTGCTGTCATTCTGGGCTACGTTTGCCTTTCTTTAACTGTTCCCTTTCCAAATTTGGTAGAATATTCTGTGGTAGTGTGGACAGAACAGTGGGTCTAGGGGCAGGTCTGATGCTGGACAAGTCACTGAATCTCATGATGCTTCAGTCTCCTCATCTATGGAATGAACAATTGACCAGGCTTCTCCCCAAGCCCAGCTCTGAGGCCTTGGTCAAGTCAGTGAGTTTCTGTGCTCCATTCCCTGTCTTCGGCATTCCTGCTTAGTTGCTGGGAGGATTACATGATGGTAAATGCGAAGTGTGTGGCACGGTGGATGCAACCAACTCTGTTCATGCAGCACTGCTGGTGGGTCAGGTGTCCCACATAAACAAAAAATAAAATTCTAACGCCCCCAACCATCTGAATGGACTTCCTCCTAGGCCAGTGCACTCGAAATTTAACCTGAAAGACTGGTTCAGGCCATGATGGGAAGTGGGAGTCGGACATGTCTCATAATACCTCTCTGCTGTTGACATCGACACAGACCTTAAGTCAGATAGGAAACTTTGAGTCTATTCTCTCTGAAGGCTGCTACCTGGAGGCTTCATCTGCATGATAAACTGTGGTCTCCACCACCTCTTATCACAACCCAAGTATTCCTTTCTCGTGATGACTCTTTTTTGGGTTTGTTTTTTTTGGCTTTTTTGTTATGGAGTCTCTCTCTGCAGCCCAGGCTGGAGTGCAGTGGCACAGTCTCAACACACTGCAACCTCTGCCTCCCAGGTTCAAGCAATTCTCCCGCCTCAGCCTTTGAGTAGCTGAGATTACAGGCATGTGCCACCATGCTTAGCTAATTTTTGTATTTTTAGTAGAGTCGGGTTTCACCATGTTGGCCAGGCTGGTCTCCAACTCCTGACTGTTAAAACATGCACTCTGAATGAAGAGACCCCCCCACCAACAGGCTTTGTGTGAGCAACATGGCTGTTTATTCACCTAGGTGCGGGCCGGTGGGCTGAGTCTGAAAAGGGAGTCAGCGGAGGGCAGTGGGATAGGAGTTGGTTTTACAGGTTTGGGGTGGGCAGTGGAAAGTTACAGAAGTTACAGTTTAGGGCAGTTTTTTGAAAGCTGGGAGGGGGGTGTAGGGTCTGGAGTCATGAGGTTGACCAAGGTTAGTTGCACAGTCTAATGGCCTTAACAATTGGGGCGGGAATAAGGAACAATAGAGAATGTCTTAAAGTTAAGTAGGCACAGGGGTTGATCATTTCTCCCTGTTTTCACGGTCTTCCCGTTACTTCAGATTTTCCAGGAACTCATCGGGAGTGTCCGTGTAGGTCACAGAGATTAACATGGCGTCCATGGGGCTGTCAGTCGGCCTAAGAGACCTTACACTGACCTCAGCTTTGGGAGATTTGTCTCAGCCTCCCAAAGTGCTGGGATAACAGGCATGAGCCACTGTACCCGGCCTCTATTGGTAACTCTTT